GCGACTCCGACCTTCGCCTCAGAGTTACGCCCTAAACAAACAACGAAATGCAAGAAGTGACATGCGCTAGGCCGCAGGAGGGACAGGCGCGAAGACCATCAGGCAGGAGCTCAGTCCTCCTGCAGGCACTACCCTCAATGCTGTCCGTTACGAGCTGCAACCTCCTCCTGTTCTACCGTAATTTAAGGAAGAGCTGTATGCAGATTGAGGACGATACGATCTGTAGAATTACTTGCTGTACAGTGGCAAACACGCCAGCTAGGACTGCACGAGTGACAGCCTGAAAAGCTCCCAGGGAGGATGAGGGAAATGGAGCCGGGAGAGGCTTGGCTACCAAGCAGGAGGGCGTGGGAAGCCCACTGGAAATACAAGACGGAGTATCTTATATCTGGAAGGTTACAACTCCTCGGGGCCCGAGGACAGCATTATATCTGGAAGGTTACAGCATCGCCCAGCTCCTCGGGGCCCGAAACAGCATCCCTCTCGTCACCTTTTGGTCAGCGTAGACCGCAAGAACTGCAAGAGAGTAAAGATGTCGCTGTGTCTGTGACGGGCACAAAGCTCTACAGGGACCCAAGCAGAGATGACTTTTCCACTTCTGCCTTCGCTCTGGCTTCCCCCTGACTCGTGCGTTGGGCAGACGTGCGTTGCTCCTTACCCATCACGCGGAGTCTCTTTGCTACAGCAATATGACGAAAGCACGTTGAAGGAAAACACTCGCTAACAGTAGCAATTTTTAACAACACAAGCGACGCCCCGTTGTTCGCATCCAAATGAATGTTGTGCTTATGACACAGAGATTTTTTTAAAGGCTTTCATCAGGTGAAGAGCCTCAAACGCGAAGGACACGCATTTCTTCCCTCTGCTCTGAAATCCCCTTCGCGCGCGTGCACAGGGGAAATACATCTGAAGGCAGGGATGGCAGCACGCAGCTGCTCAGTCCACAAAGGCAGAAATATGATTTCACTTATTTGGCCCTGCACATTTCTTAAAGAGTTGTATTTATGTGGCATGTAACTTTATGAACGTTTCAGGGATTTTTAAGTATTTAAATACTCAGACTGTATTGGTAACAGATGTTCAATGATATATTTAATTTTTAGCTTTACTGAAAATATCATGTATCAGTTGATATTTTCCGTAAAATATAACTTTGAAAGAATGCCTAAGTACACTGTACTTCCAGGAAATGTATCTGAGCCTTTCAGCTACTGCATTAAAGTGGGCACTTCTGAAATTAGTGAGCAAATGTTCTGAGAGTCTAATAGGATTTCTTGTTTGCCAAAAAAATAGTGCTTTCAGGAACACAATCCTTTGTGTAATCTCTCTCTCCCAAGACAGATGGCATCATTAATTGCCTCTACATCTAGTTAAATTTAAAAACCTGTGCTTAAATAATGTTAAAGTTGTGGTACATGCTGACAAACATAGGAAATATTAAGGTAGAATCAATTGGAAACAAGGGAAGAAAACAAAGACAGAACAGACAGGAATAATGAAAGGCCACAAGAAACCCCGACTGATTTACTACCTCCTTGTTCATGCCAGGAAATGTTACAACCTTAACAATCGAGGAAGCGTTCCTGCGTTTCGGTGAACTCCTGGCTTGAGTGAAGCAACTGGCAAAACTCCCGTTGACTTCAGTGGGTGAGGATGTCATCCCTTAATCTTTTTAAAGCAACTTGACATGGAAGGTGTCCAGTGTGGCTTATCCGCAGTTCTAATTACAATTCCTCTGTAAATACATCTGGGGACTCAAATGTAACTGTGCTCTGTATTTCAAAGCTAGCATCATTCCGATTCTCTGGTTTACCACAGTCACCCCACAGTGGTATCGGTTACCAAAAGCCTGATTTTAAGCCTTCTCTGAGCTTAAAATGGAATATAATTATCATAGCACTGCCAAAGAGCCAGCTTTTGCCAATAGATACCATATGCTAACTCTTTGGTTTTAAATACAAGCCCTGTGTTTAAAGCCTTTTCTCACACCACACAAGCTGTGATTTTTCCGACGCCTGGGAGGAACAGACACCCAAAGGGGTTTGAGTGCAAACAGCCACACCAGCCTCTGAAAGTCCTCGCACACTACACAGCCTGTCCCGTTAAATACAGATATGTTCCCTTTTACAGGGAAACACCACACTTCTTACACAGTGAGGGTCCTAATTGAAGACTGTAGAGGAAAACAATAAAACAATGTCAAAAGAGCGAAAACCGAGGAGATGCACTGGAAATACAAGAAACGATGGAGACTTGATGCTGAGTTCTTGAATTAGCATCTGTATCCGTATGCTAATCTTGAATGTGTATAGTTGTACCCAGGAAGCTCAACAATATTATTCATCGCTAAAGAATTTTATGTTCTTTAAAAATTATCTCATTTTTCTTTAGTCTTCACACGCAAGGCCGCTAGCAGAACGCTGAGCACTCAGCCTCTTCACCCAGATTTTGCTTCATTTGTTTTATTTCAGTCTGGCATTATGCTTTAGGTTTTTACACCTGGCTGTTATAATATTCAATGCGGTTTGGCCAATATCAACCAGATTTGCAAGAAGGTAAAATCATCAAATATAGTCAACTCCCATGAGATTCCTACAATAAGTAAGCGGACAGAGGAAAGCGGCCTTAGCAGTGACCTTACAGTGGGAAAAGCTGCAGGGTGAGTTCAGCTGGAAAACTTGGGAACTCAACTTCAGGGTACCGATCTCTGGGAAACCTGGCTTCACTCTTTTTAAGCTCATGGAAGTCTTTTTTATTTTTAAACAGAATACAGCATTCCATAATGCCCTTCATTTGGTTTTCACAGTGTCTGACTGGTGAAAGAATTTAATAGATTGTGTTGTGACAAAGAAATCTGACTTTGTGGCTAAAACAAATCCCAGATTACTCTAGCACAGAAACACACCAGATGAATATTTTCTTACAAACTGTGATCAAGGCTGATCATCAACATTCGTGCCAGGGATTAAACTGCTTCTTTAAAATCCGTGCTCTTACCTGTTTGTTCCTTGGCACTGGAAGCAGCGTGTGTTGGGACGGTATCTTCCATCACCTTATGAGGCCTGAAAGTTCTGTTACGCATCCTAAGGGACCGCGGCCACCCGTCCGCTGCTTCCCTGCCATCCACCGTAGGCGGCAGCAGATTTTGGACTCGATACCCTTCTGCTCTCTCGAGTTATTAAATTAATTTTTACAGTGTCAAAAGTTCTGATACAGCTGACCGTGAGGTTTTGCAGGTAGGCTTGTAAACTCTGGCGGGGAGGACCGGGGTCACTCGAGTGGTTCCGATTTTGCCTTTTAAAAAGACCCCGTTACTCATCCACGCAAATGACTCTCCAGGGCAGAATTCCACGAGAAAACATTTATTTAGCCCCTTCCGTTCTGCCTGATAGAAGTCACAGCGTGCCCCAGCACTCCAAACCTGCACCGGCTTCCTAGCGGCGTTTTTCCTTCTAGGTAATTCAAGGTGTTAACCTTCGAATAGAATTATTTAAAACGTTGTATTCTTCAGTCTAGACTCTCCAAAAGGCCACCCATTCCTCCCCACGTTAGCGCAACCTGTGCCTGCAGTTAACGTGCCCGCCGTGTAACCTCTGCAGGACTGGAGGAGGTATGATACACCGCCAGCCACTGAATTTCACAATGCGTCACGCAGTACCTGGATCTGCTGATCTTCTGTTGAAGTATTTTTAAAAACTCTAAAGCAAACCGGTTGCCAACCGCGTCCACGTCTGCGCGGCGGCAGAAAGCAGCGTGTGGCCTCAGGCTGGAGGAGGGGAGCTGGACTGGTGTCGTGCGCTGCTCGGCGCTCGTGGCACCCTGCTTGCAGGGAGCCTCAGAGCCTTGACAGACCAAAAGGGCTCCATAAAAACACTCAGAAGCCTGTGCGGCCCACGCGGCACGCTCGTTGGGACAGGCAACCAGAGAGGGAATTCCGCAGGAACATTTATGCTAGATATCAACAGCTTGGGCGAGCGCGTAGAGCACGGTTGAAGAAGTTCCTGCCCCTCACGTGAGATGATGCTGGGGCGCTGCAGTCAGGCTGCCGGGCCCCTGGGAAGCAACGCGGGCGCGTTTCAACCCCTGCAACGACGTCTTTAATCACACACACTGTCACCGGACACACAGTGACCCCAGTCTGCGTTCTGATACTGGGGGGGGGGCACGTTTGCATCCGGCCTGAGGATCACATCTATCTTTCTTGCAGAAAATTCTTCTCTCGGGCATTCTAAAAGCCAAACTGAGAGCAAAAGTGGTTTGAAGGGGCGCGTTTTCCTTTTCGTTCACAACAAACTGATATCCCCCACTCAGCTGTTCTGTACCAGCCAAGAGACAGGAACTCCTGACCCAGGGCTGTAGCTTCTTGAGATGTGATAACTGGACTGCTCTCCATTACCTCTCTCTGCTTAAATTCGCCGTTACGACGTAACCCAAATCGCTCACCACCACCACCCTATTTGCTCTAAGAAATTGTCAATATCCCCTCTTCCTCAGATTCATCCTCCAACCTCAGATCTGCATCCCTACAGACACTGGTTTACTCCAAAAAGTACAACAATCCCTGTAATTATTTTTACAGAGCAAAATACAAGGGATTCAGGACATTGAAACTAAAATCATCTAAACACCTCAGCCATAAGACCGTTGGCTGTAATTACCAGCTTAATGCAGAACGCACTTATTTTAGGGGGAAAAAAAAGTCATTAGGAAGAATTAAAATATTATTTTTCATCACTCGGCTTTGAAAGCAGCCCTACAGGCTTTGCTGGTTTGTTACTCTTCAGGCTGATGAAAAGGTTCCTCAGGTCCACTTGGCAGATCAGGCCAAATTTTTATGCTGTTAGAATAACCACGTGCTTTTAGCTCCCTCCGCATGCCCTGCAGCTTACAAATAAAGTTTGTTCGAAAGGGCAAAGCCTCCTCCTGATATCTGTTGGAATCAAGTAGGAAAACAGACATTTCTTGATCTCAGGGTGAAGTAACATATCTGCCCCACTCACCTGCTGCTCCATCGTTTGCGGGTGGATGAAAGTCACAAAATCAACCGAGAAATAACCAAGCACTCCTTTAGATTTACAGGTTTCTCCGATTTTTAAGCAGAGCGAATTAAGAACTGCTGGATCAACAGAACCTTGTGGAATGGTAGTGCCAGATGATCTCAAAGGACCGTCAGCGTGGAGCTGGTCTCCAGATGACACTATTTTTATCTTGCCTGTTGGCTCTATCAGCATATCCACCGTAAGGTTTGTGACATTTTCTGAGAACGGGAAGGCTTCTATCACACCACCTAGTAAGAAATGAATTAGCTGTTAAGCTGGTAATCAAATTCACATGTGATGCTCTTCAGAGTGCACAGAATGAACCCATCCAGCCCCTGTTGTGCTCAGACATTGCAGGGAGGACTGCTATGGAGCTACAGCAAGTAAATAAATGTAATGTGAGCAGCATAGCTAGAACCCATGAATCTCTTAGAAGAGAAGGAAGCTATCTCATCTACTATAGCACTGTCCCCTTCAATCAGTGACTTTTGAGCTGCAGATGCTTTGCAAGCAGTTCCAGACTGGATAGATCCCATGTCTGACAGGAGAAATATGCTCTTGGGTAGTATGAATGAATCCGGCGCTGTCCTGCAGCCCAGAGAAATGCCGGGCCCAGAACAGCGGTGAAAGGCAATGTCGGGACCTCGGGGGCGGTGGCATCTCCTGCTGTGAGCTTGTCTTGGACATTCCCATCCATACAACGGCCTGAGGTAGGCAGTCTGCCTTTTGGTATTCATCCACACGAGGAACTCTGTGTGTAGGTAGGAAGGCTCGCAGATGACAACTTCTAGCAAGGTTGTGCGTAGGAAAATCACAAAGAAAACTGGCTGGCATTCGGGATTAGCCTTTTTATTGCCTAGAAGGCCATAATTCATTTAGTCAGGATAAACTAGTTTGTAATAAAAATTGGTACTAGATACGTTAAGTGGCGTTATTTTTCCAAAAAGTACTTCCAAAGCTTCGAATCACCCTTGTCTCTTCCACAGCCAAAGAAATGTATGAAACGTATATATCCATTATAGAGAAAACGAAATGATGGCAGGGCAGAATCGCCACAGAAATTTACTACCCGTGCACAAACACTGCATCTTTTCCATCCAAAATTTGGCATACAAATGTAGGATGCTAACGTGTCTGTGCAAAGCCCGCTCACCGAGAACGCTGGTTTGCAGCGATTCAACAACGGGTTTGTCTGCGCTGCCTCTTCGGGACAAACAGGGGCTCAGCTTCGGAGCTCTCGGCCAGTCGAGTGCTGGCCAGCTTGGATCCAAAGGTGCCGTGAGCGGGTTTAATGCAGGAAGCCCTGCTGAGGGCTCGGCACCGCATGAACAAAACTATCCAGCTTGGAACTTGTTCATATTCCTTTGGTTGGAGGGCAAGAAAGAGCACGGCAACAGCGTGACTCGGAGTCTGTGCCAATGTTCTGTAAGGGACAATACGCGCTGCATTACTGATCCTCCGTGGCAACACCACCTGCCTGGAAGGCAAAAACTGGGGAGAAAGCTCAGCTCTTCTCCAAGCTGTTAAAGGTCATGAGCACATTTGACTCCAGGCAACGTACCTATGTAGCATCCAGAGTTTACATATAGCTCCCTGCCTGGCCCCACGGGAGGGAAAGGCAAGTCTCGCCGCTGTTTGCTCACCGACACCTAACAAAGACGAAATATCCTCACAATTTCCTACGTGCAAGCTCACGTGCTAGCACTCCCCAAAGCCCTTTTGCCAAACGTGCCGGCCTCCAGTACAGTAACCCAGGATGAAGGACTTGGTGCTTATTGATTCAGAATCGTGGAAGAAAGGTAATCCAGGATTAATCTAGGTTAAATGCTTGGATAGGACATATGAATGATAGAACAGTTGCCTATAATTCATTTGTAAATGAACATTGGAAGCGTAATGGAGAAAAAAGAGGAGATAAATATTTAAATGGGCCCGAGATTAACAAGAATATGGCATACAATATGGTATAATTACTTCTTATAACACTTAACAGCGACTTTGCAGTCTTATTTACCTTGACTAAGAAATGTTTGGAGGAATTTTTCCCATGTAGGGAATCGTTTCTCATTGACTGGCTGTACGTGCTGTGCTAAAAGGCCCGGCAGCTCCTGGGAGATCTTCACCAAAGCTGGCTCCTGCAGAAACAAATTAAATAGAACCACAAGCAATTTTACTACAGAAATGAAAACTGCTTGTGGGGTGATTAAAAACCAGGCCTCCAACAGGCAAAAAAAAAAAAAAAATGTGGTTACTGTTTACCCACAGTCAGGAAGCCTTTTTTAATTTTTCTACTTACTCCTCTTCCCTCCTATAGAAAACTGTCCTTCTCTGAAAGACAATCCCCCCCCTTCAGTATAGCATCTATTTCATTAGAATTTATATCAATAATTTGATCTGGCAACTGAAAACGCTAAGCACTTGGTAACTGCTTAGGGATCAATACCAGCAGTCAATAACTTCTACGTTGTTTATATTTTGAAATGGAGTATATTGAAATAGTCACATATGCCAGTTTTACTGAATCCATGTTTAAGCTGATACATCAACACAAACACATTTAGCTATCAAAATAAAAAACCAAGGAGGAATAACCACCCAAAAGTATTTCTAAACCAGGAGATATCCTTTTACACTCTCCCATCTGTAACATAAATTCACAAGTGTACTTGTTTCTCTATCTTTAGTAGAATTTGATGAGTCATACTATAGGAGATAAAGGAGCTTCTTCCTAGTTTCAGATGCTTTACTATATTATCACACGCACAAAGCAACCCCATTAAATACAGAAACTAGCTGCATTGTTTTTACTGTTCAAAAATGTCCCAGAAGTGCACAAGCACATAAAGCGCAAGGACCCTGACTCTATTGCTTCAGGCTCCTTTTCTTGCTGCTTCATAAGCGCTCGCCTGCTTCCCCCGGGGCTCTTCGCTTCTGTTTTACATCCTCTCTCTTCAGCATCCCGTGCTTCAGAAGATGACCAACAGTCCTCCGATCTTGGCAATGTCCTGAGCCACAACCGTATTATCTTTAGCTCTGGAGGAACACGCTAAAACCTAATGGTTAATAGCTAAGAATATTAACCGTAATATAAGGGAGAAAAAAAAAAATATTTTTCCAGACCAGTGAGTCTGAAGAGGTGGGATTTGTCATGAAGAGCATAACGTGACATAACCCAAAATACAAATTAAAAAAAAATCAGTTTATTGTGATTTATCTGCCAGAATGAGAAGTAGAATGACTAGCGTATCAACTTTGCGTATAGGAGACCTAGATATATCTTGTTCCTGAACTCAGTCTGCCTGAAACTGCAGGGAAGTGGTTTTCTGTCAGTGCCTCAGCTGCCCAGCCATGGAAGGGGGATAATTGCTGGCCCTACCTCACATGCAATTGAAAAAAAAGATACCTTAAAAATACTGAGGTGCCTAGAAAATGATGATGATCTAGGCCATGTGGGCTCCTATCATACACTAAAGAGAAACAGATGTTGACTTTAAACATCTCAGAAAAAAAAATGCTAAAAAATTGTTTTAGTTAGTTTATCAATAGAGTGAGCAGCACGACCTGAACCTTATGGCAAAACCAAAGAGCCACATAAAATGTGAAATCCGAGTTCAGAATTTACCCAGATTCAGGTCTTATACGGCTTGCTTTCTTCAAATCTGCAAGAAGGAATTTAGGTTTTGGAGATCTCCGCTGCCTAAAACAACAGAGCAGTGAGCAAGTATCAGTTGGCCTTGCCTTGATTTGTATTTCCCTTGAAACATCGCTAAGCCAAGAAGCCTCGAGATCAGGCGGTTCGTTGCACGGTGAAAATAAACGCAGCTTTGGAGAGAGGCTCTGAGCCACGATGGATGTCACGGAGTTGCTGACCTACAAATCGGTTTGCACCTCAGTGCGTTCGGCAATACCTCTGCCACACCGAGTCTCCTCCCTGAGACGGAATGACTTTGGGGGGTTGTGCAAATTAAACAGAAATATAAAACCAAACAAACAAAAGAAGAGGTATGCAGTGGCTGCCTGAAAGCTTTTCGTGAATTACTGGGGGAAAAAAAAAAAACAGGAATCCCTGCTGGATGTGTAAAGGCATTCGAGAGTGCTGTGACCAAGCTTGTGTAAGTAAAAATTAAACTATGGGCATGTCAACTGGGACACAATTTTCCATTGCGACAATTCTGAGGGACACGAGGGCAGCCACACCAGCTCCACGGAGCTGGGGACAGCAGCAGCTCCTTTTAGACAGAGCTGGTTTTGAGGATCACACACGGCTGTGAAAGCAAGCTCCCTAAAATGGGTGCAAAAGCAAGCAGAACTTCCAAACTCGGAAGGGTACCAAAGGGCACGCTTACCTGGCTCACAAGTGGAGGCCGCTGGTAAGACAGAGCCTCCACTCACCTCATCTACACACAGAGTAACATCATCAACGACTACTCTTAGTCCAGAAGACGGACTTTAGACGGGCAAGACTTCATGGTGTTTCCTCCACAGCCCCAGAGTCGCTTGCTTCAAGGAAATCAGAGAGTTTTGGAAGGGAACTCGACCACTGGGTGAGCTCGGCCAGGGCAACGTGGAGGCGCGGTGCCCCGGAGCAGGAGCACCTTCCAGCTCAGGGCCCCCTCGGCGCTCGCTGACTGTGTGGGATGCGAGTGCCAAAACCAGTCGCCTTACGGAAAGAAGACGGGGGGCTGGTAAAGAAATCACCAATTCGAGAAGGTCTGACGAATGTTCTTGCGACATCAGACCCAGTGTAACAGTGCTTTCAACAGGTAACGCCCAGGTGATCGAGGTGTTCACAGAAGGGAGTCGGGCAACCGCTTTTTAAGGATCAGCACCTGGAATTCTAGTTGAAGTTTTTTTGCAACTGTAAGCTTTGAAAAGGCAATAATTATCGGGAGTTTTAGTAGGCAAATTCAAGCCCAGATCCAACATTCACTCATGAAGTCAAGCCTTTTAAAAGGATCAGTGCTCGGTAGGCTAATTTCATTTAACTTGGACGGTATCTCCAGGAGAGCTTACCAATGCTTTATCTCTTGATGTGGCCCAAAACAATTCAGAATCATAGGCTCAATGGAAACAGGGAGCATTTGTTTCACATCTTTCAGCTGATGTGTCTTAGTACCAGTAAAAAAGGAGAAGCCCAGATACCGTTGACACTTCACGTAGAAAACTTTAAATCTATCCAGATCTCATTTGTACCTTTTTATAACGATAAGGATGATAAAAAATTACACCTTCCCCCCCCCCAAATGTAAAATAATTTCTCACCCTTCTGCAAGCTGAATTTTGAAAGGCTTTCTTAGACTGGCAATTGCAACAACAAATTAGGACCAAATGTGGCCTGTGTTGAAGGCACCGGTAGGAAATCTGCTCGAGACAGATCAGACAGCATAGAAAAGCCTGTGGAGAAGGTAAGTAAATAAATGGAAAGAAGAAAGAGACTTCAAAATAGGAAGAAAGGCCTGGGGACAGAAAGAGGCTGCAGAGCAGAATGCATGAGAAAGACCTAGGGCTTTTTAGCTAAAAATCAGATACGAAAGGAAATCATTTAGACCTTGCAAGCAAATAGAGTGAAGAAAGTAACTCCAAGTAAGTAAAGCTGACTGGGCCAGAGAAGAATAAAATCAGCAGACAGATCCTCAGCAATACAAACTGCCACATCTCTGCGGAAGTCAATGAAGCTGTGGCAATTTATGCCGCTTCAACGGCCCTGGGACAATTCCCACCACTGACACAGTATATCCTTCCCCTTGCAGTCAGTGGAGCCGTGCTAACTTATTCCAGCTGCCTCGACATGAGTTGGTCCAGCCCAGCTTATTCTTCCGTTCTCAGCGACACCAGCACACGTGGTTATATTGGAAGAGGCCAGTGACTGCTGTCCCACTGTCCAAATAACTTCTATTATTTCCTGGTTTGGAAATGAAGCTGATTTGACATTTTTTATAACTCAGACAGGTACATGCTGGCCAGAACCACAATCTACTGCACTGAACAAAACAATTTGAGAGGTTTATAAAAATGGAAATGTTTTTGGAAGTGCTAACGCTGAATACCCTATCTACTTAAAGTTTGCAACCTGATTTAAAGCCCAGGCATTTAATTGTTAACTGCAAATTTTAAAATTAAAACGTGCCAATTTTGCCTTCCACGAGCTGGAAAAGTATGTTCTGATAGAAGGTAACATCATGTAAAACAGCCATCATTACCAAGTAACACAAATGTTTTTCGTATGTAAAATTGCTTTGTAAAATATTTGCTCCATCTGCTGAAAGTAGCAAAGACAATTTTCCCTGATAGCTAATGGCCCATTTCAGCTGTATGGCAAGCGATTCACCGTGGCTGTGACTTGCATTAAGTAGAATGGTGAAAACAGTGCACAGAATTCTCCACTTATGTAGTATTATCTACTCACTGCTTCCTGAGAGCCCGTCCCTCATTATCATGGCCTTCGCTTTGGATCAGCACACAGGACTAGGGTTGCTTTGACTCAAGAGGCTTTTTGTCAAACTGAGGCACATATGCTATGCTTCAATACAAAAGCACAAAACAGCCACTTTCCTTGACTACAAGAACAAGAAGGTTAGTTCTCTTTCAACTTTCCAGCACTTAAACTGCTGTTCCTTTTTTCACACCACATGGGGCCATGGATTTCTCTTCTGGCTCATGCTGTCACTCTGCACGCTGAGGATTTCAATATATAAAGATCAAGCACTTCTTTTAATTCTAAATTCAACTAAATACACGCACAAAAAAAGGAAAAAAGGACCCACTGGCCTAGTCCAAATCCCCCCCTCCCATTTGCTTGGTTCATTGTATACTTTGCTATTTCCATTGAAAAGCGCATGTTTACATTGTGCCCTGAACTACTTCAACATCTGCTAACAGACCAATAAAAAATAAATAAACCAGGATTGTTTAGAAAGAGAGATCCTTTCTATTTCCTCTGAACACTCCTAAACTAGCAACAGCAATATGCTGCGAGATCCCTTTTCGTAGATGTCATCTCGGAAAACAATATATGTATGTGGGGAAATCAAATATAAAATCACCACAGCCTGTGCGACCAAAAATCAGACGGAAGGAGGATCTTGAAAGCTCGATGAGTTTGTCAAATAATTCTGCATGTTTATACACAGCATGT